AATTTTCTGGAGATGCATTTTGTAGTGAATTCATTTTGGCTGTCCTATTGAGACAGATCAATGTAATATCATAACACCTTTAATAGTGCCTGGCATACAGTAAGTGTTCAATAAATGTGTAACAAATAAATGCAATTAGGCCCTTTAAATTCCTATGCTGTTCTGAAAACCCAGCTCTTCATCAGCAACACAAGATTGTCTGCTTCAACCCTGAATTGTTTAATGTTCAGTTAAATTCAAACTCTAGACTGAGACAAGTGATAAAAGGACATGATATTTATTCATTTCTTTTGATTTTCTAAGCTCTATTCCTGTAGCCCACCTTGTCATAAGAAATCAGCATCATTGTTCTAAATTATTTTAGCTAAACTAGTGAGTGGATTAGTAAAAAAAAAAAGAGAGAGAGAGAGAGAGAGCACATGTCTTAGAGTTGGACAAACTTCAGTTCATATTAATTAGGACAACTAATTAATAGTTCTAAGACTTTGAGCCAACTAATTACTCTGTATGCCACTTTTCTCAGCTGTTGTTAGTGTTAAATATAGTATACAACATAATACAAAGTTCACATTTAGTAAGTAAGCAAGTAATACTGGTTTACCTTTTCTTTCTGTGTCTTTGATTATAAAATATTCCATCTACTGCCTGTTGTTTGACTCCAGGTTTATTTATTATAGAAAGAACTATTGACTATATTTTTCCTGAAATTAAATGCCAGAGAAATGTTACCTTTTCTATGAACTTGTATGATAAATTTATGAGATTAATGAATCAAAACTTGCCACTCATGGTGGTTTTGTTTTGTTGCCATTATTTTTTTCTTTGGCTTCAGGAAGCATGGGACTAAGTTTTCTGCCTGCAGTAGATATTCATAACTTAAGTCTTCTTGTAAAACTGTCATCTCCCAGATCCTGATTTATTTGATATTTGTTCTTAAAACTGGATTTAATGGTTTTAATGTTCTTATATCTTTTATTATGAACTGCAAAAATCCTTTTTTGGACCCACACAGAATATACTCATACATAATAAATGAATGAAAGGATAAAATGACTAGTTCAAGGTTTTGTTGTCATTAAGTATAGAACTAATCCAGGCATGGTGCCATTTTCAGCTGTATCATTCAAAAGAAGCCAAGAAAGTTCAACCTCTGAAAATTCGTAAACCTCAGTGTTTTCTCCTCAGAAATTAACCAGCAGTAATGTAGTACAGTCATGCATAAATGAAAATGGGAAGGGAGTACTTCTGGAATATTGGTTATTAAATTGAGAAAAATGCAGTCAAAGCTTTGGACACTTGCAGGATAAGATCAGTAATATGGGGCATTTATCTCTGCAAAACTTCATAGCTAAAGCTAGTAACTGAACTGCTGAAGGGGACTCATTGCACAAGGCCCTTTCTCACAAGTCGACATAAAATGCAGTCTTTTCACAGAACAGATTATATTCAGACTTCTTCTCTGCCTACCAAATGGCAGTGGCAAGAAAGCCTTCTTTTAATTTAGCTTTAAAATTTTTTAGCAGATGGGAGATGGAGAAGAAACAAGTTTGCTTTGAATTTTTGCAAAGAAAATTCTATTATATCCACATAGAAATAATTGTGGAGTCATTTAAATACAAGGTTAATGTTCAGTGGAGGAATTAGTTATTTTTAAACATATTTTGATCAATAGAATAGACTATTTTAAACTACTGTTGTTTTTGTACCATATCAATCTTCAACAGTTACCACTGTGGTGATTTATAATTTTTAAATATGATATTCCTTCCTTGTAATTCACTCTTAATCAACTTATTAATTTCCCTGAAAAAAGACTCTTCATTTTGATGAGCATCTATGAATACCTGTGAATTTCAGACATTCTTCCCAAATGTTTTAGTATGAATTTAATATAAAGAGATGAGGGAATGCTTATTCTCATGAGCTAATTGAGAGAACATCAGTCAGGCACTGCATTGCACCTTTGAGTTAGGAGAGCCTATCTCTGGGAATATAATATCTGGGCTTACTTAAACAGTTACTGATATCAAGGAGAGTCATCCTAATAACATTTTTGACTTTCACATCCCTTGTTTACTTGGTTTGATCTTCACTGCTTCCAGTTTTTGCCTCTCCAAATAGTGCCCTTTAATGGTAACATCTCTTATCTCCCCTATTTTCTAAAATAGTGGTTCTGAGGCTGATAGTTGCCGGAGGAGGAGGAGGGTTGGGAGACTGGATAAAAAAGGTGAAGGGGTTAACGAGTACAAATTGGTAGTTACAAAATAGTCATGGCATGTAAAGTCCAACAAAGGGAATATTGTAAATTATACTGTAATAACTAAGTATGGTGCGAGGAGGGTGCTGGAAATACTGGGGGGACCACTTTGTAAAGTATATGATTGTCTAGCCACAGTTCTGTACACCTGAAACTAATACAAAATAATATAGAATATAAACTGTAAGTGAAAAATAAATTTTAAATAAAAAAATAGTTGTTCTGGAAATGTGGAGTTTATTAGAAATACAAACGCTTGGCCTTACCACTGTTCCATTGAATCAGAAACTTTGCAGTGGAACTCAATATTCTGTTTTACAAGCACCTAAGGTAGTTCTGATCCTTGTTAAAACTTCAGACTCTGCCTTAAACTTCTGGTTTTCTCAATATGAATTTTTTGTTTTCCCTTTTTGGGTTCTAATCATCAGCACTCTTTGTTCTTAGATCATAAGCTATGTGACCTGAACTAAGGATATTCTAAAACATGTAACTGTAGAAATTTTTTTAGAATTGATAATATTTTTCCATAGCATGCTTAATGGCATGTTTTCATAGGTACTTAGCGAAAAGTTTGTTTGAATTTTATAGTCATGACAAGGAAAAGTGCATGGAAATTGGGGATAAATATGTTCTGAGCTTTTAAAAACTCAATTTGGATTTGTAAGCTTAGGGTACACATGAGATCTGGAGGAAGTTCTTCAACAACATATTTGCCATCCAAGAAAATTTCCAATCCTGTTATTCCTGTGTTGTCCTGCTGATAATCAAAATAGCCTTTTCCCAATTATTTGAGGTACTTCCTTTAGAGTTTATTTAAAGTTTAATTCAAAATTAAATATAAAGAGGATACTTGAAAGAAAATTGTGTGTGAATTCACAAATATTGTAATAATGATTTTCAATCTTATTGTGAGAAATTATGTGCTCTGAAATAAAAATAAAAGATTATTGAATAATTAGAAAATATGTCAGAGCATTAAGCATTTCATTTGAATAGCTTTTATTTGTGTCTTTTTTACTGGGAATTCTTCTGTTGCTAAAAGTTTTCCTACTGGTATAATATATGTAATTGCTTAACCATTTTACCAAACTACAACCAAGTCAGTGTATAGCTTCTCCATTATATAAATAGTACTGTTGTAGACAGGCACTGGAAAAAACCAAGGGGATTTCTCAGGAGTGTGAGCAATTGCTAGGATGCAATGATTTATCCTATGATATCACTGAGGTATAGGGTAATCCTTGTCCTAACTAGGTAAGTGGTTTCCAGTTTGTGTGTGCCATGCATGTCTAATAGAATCTAGCAGTCCGTAGAGACTCAAAGTGTGTTCTCTAAGGCAGATGCAGAAATATTATTTCTGTTGCTTAATAAGTGTTTTACTTTCTAAATATCTGAGGCAGAGCTGTATGATCTGTTTTACAATCCTGAGGGATAGACCCCTCCAGTGAGTGGCCCTCAACATGCATCAGAATATTCAGAGGGTTTATTAAAGCAGATTGTTGGTCCCTGCCCCACAGAGTTACTGATTCAATTGGTGTGAAGTTTGAGTAAACATTTGCATTTCTAACAAGCTTCCAGATGAGGTAAATGTCCAACTCGTTCATTTTTTTACAATAAGCCAACTAAATTTAAGCTGCATCCCCTATCATGCAGCACATAAAAATGAGCACAACTCTCCCCAAACGCCTGCTAAGGGTTATGCCTCCTCTAATGGTTTAGACCATTCAATTTTCAGTTGCTGGGATTGGGAAAGATCCTATAAAACATGTGAGTGCTCAAAACCTGAACAAAATCACTAAGAAGGAGAGGAGATGACTATGGGGAGGGCATGTGTGCCTCACAGTTAGGCAGTATCATGTAGGATGCCTCTTCTAACTATAGAATCCACAGTATTTAATATCATAGAGTATACATAGAGTATAAGGTCATTTCTGGGTAAACAAAAATCATGGATAATGGATATTTATATTATATACATCCATAAATCAGCTGTAGAGGAGCTGAGTCACCTAGGTGATTTGATGTTTCACCAAAAAACTCTGCATGAGACATGTTGCATAAGTGGGTGTATTGTGATGAACCTGCCAGTCACCAGTTGCCTGTAGCTGTGGCCTGCTGAATCATCAGAATAATTTTCATGTAGGAATGTTCAAGCTTAATGCAAAATTTTAACGCAGATTCACTGCTCTACTAACTCAGTCATTTTGAAAGCAATAGCCACACAGTACCCATGCTCATTCAATGGCGCCTAGTACAATGGGGTCATCCTTGTTCATGCATGCACATTCCAAACCACTCTCCTTGGCTGCCAGGTTATATTGGTGTTGTGCAAATTGTTCTGGGTTTTTTTCCTGACAGACCTCATAGATGCATATCCTTTATCCTATGGTTATTATAATGGCTGATCAGGGTTCACCTCTGAAGTATCTAGCATAGTCTCTGGGACCAGTATATGTTCAGTAGATTTTGGCTCCAAAATAATTAAACAGTTTGTAATGAAACATTTCAGGAGAGGTTATGCAGATTTAATCTAAGATTACTTTATTATAAATAGTTTTATACTGAAAAAATTTTTGTAATTTTTTTAAAGCTCATTTACTCCAGGTAATCTTACATGGATGAATACATCATTTTTCTATGTGATAGAGGCTAAGAATTAGTAATCATTAAAAGAATAGGTTTTGTTGTAGCTCATCATTTTGGTCATTCACTTGTCTCATATTTTTGTTGTTCTTTTGTACAGGGATTTGATAAACAAGTGGATGTGTCATATATTGCCAAACATTACAACATGAGCAAAAGCAAAGTTGACAACCAATTCTACAGTGTGGAAGTAGGAGACTCAACCTTCACAGTTCTCAAGCGCTACCAGAATCTAAAGCCTATTGGCTCTGGGGCTCAGGGAATAGTTTGGTAAGTAGAACAGTTTTAACTTGTGTTTTTAAAGGGAACACACACTGTGTCAACTAGCCACATGTGCATGCCCATACACACAAACAAAAAACCCGTAAATAACTTTCATAACTGGGAGGGAAAAATAGATGCAATTGAAGAAAAATAAAACTATGAGCAATCTTTGTAATTTGTTACCCATTTGTTAACAGTATGTAAAACTACTTGTGACTCCTTTTTCTGGTATAAAAAAAATATTCATTACAGAAGAGCCATAAAAGCCCCCACAGAATCAGAGGTTTACCAGCTGTTATTAGTGCAATTTAGGAAATTTTGTTTGAATGTTTTCACAACAAGAAATGAGGGGCTATGTGTTAAGATAACTAGCAAATAAAATCCCCTATATTCTAAAGAAATATAAATGATTTCTCAAACATTCTGTGACTTTTAAAGTTCAATGTTCAATGTTCAGTTACCTATCAGAAAAGTGGTATTTTAAAAAAAATTTGTTGAATGTTTCCAAAGGGAAAGATTCTGTGATCCTTGGTAACTATTCTTTTATGACATTTTTGAGTGGCCAATTGAAATTATGAAAAATCAAGATTTAATTTAGTTGTTATCAGGTTGATAAGCATTTCTTTTAGGTAGTTGTAACTAGTGTATTAATTTAATGTATATAGTATGAAATTAGTATAATAATTTTCAATTTGATGGCTCACACTTATAAGTAAAATTTAAGATTTGCATTATAAATATATATATTTACATTTATAAAAGATATTTACTTATGCCAATATTTTTATTTGTTATATAAATTACTGCTATATTAGTAATGTTAATTTTAAAACACTTTTAAAGGATGAGATGAAGACTTACTTTTTTGAGCAGTTTTAGCTTTACAACAAATCTAGAGGCGGTACAGAGATTTTCCATGCATGGATTCCCACCTTATCAACATCCCCACCACAGTGGTACATTTATTACAATTGATGAACCTACATTGACACATCATAATCACATTGGGATTCATTCCTGGTGTTGTATATTATAGGGGTTTGAACAAACGTAAAATGGCATGTTTTCATTGTTATGGTATCATACAGAGTATTTCCACTGTTGTAAAAATCCTCTGTGTTCCTCCACTACTCCCAGCCTCTTGCAGCCATTGGTCTTTTCACTGTGTCCAAGTTTTGCCTTTTCCAAAAAGTCAGTTAGATGGAATCAAACAGTATGTGAATTTTTCAGATTGACTTCTTGCACTTAGTAATATGCACTTAAAGTTCCTCCATGTCTTTTCATGGCTTGATAGCATATTTCTTTTTAGAATTGACTAATAATCCACTCTCTGGATGTGTCATAGTTCATTTATCCATTCAGCTACTTCAGGATGTCTTGGTTGCTTCCAAGTTTTTGGCAATTATGAATAAAGCTGCTTTAAACATCCATGTACAGATATTTGTGTGGATATGTTTTAAAGGTTTTTGCTTCATTTTGACAACTGGTTTTAAGTTTACTCTAAATGCTTTTTAGAGTAATTTTGCCCTGGGAGGGAAGTGAGCCAGTGACCTTTCGCTTTGCAGTACGATGCCCAACCAACTAAGCCACACTAGTCAGGGCCCACAAGAATTTTAAAAACATGCAGCACCTGAGTATTTAGTCAGGGGCATTGACTTCTTTTCCCTTAGATTGTCAAATTAAAAAATGACAACAGCCAGCACAATAATAGCCATATGGTGTGAATGAATCAAATTTATACCAATTTTTTGTCAGATCAGCAAAATTAAAATTTATTCTTTGGTGTGCCACAGAATTTTAGTGATTAGTTTATGTGTGTCATGAGATGAAAAAAGTTGAAAATCATTGGTCTATATCAACAAGATTGGACAGATAACTTAAGATTTAAGTTGCCAGGCATGTTCAGCCAAACTTTGGGTGTTCACTTATTCTTTCTTTTTTATTTTTTTATTGTTCAAATACATTTGTTTCCATTTTCCTGCCACCACTTCCCCCTGCCTCGCCCACCCCCACCTCTGTCCCTCAATCCTTTCCCACTTTGGCTTTGTCCATGAGTCCTTTATACATGTTCACATATTCTTATTTCATCACCTCCCTTTCGTAAGTCGAAGTGGTGGGTAGAGTGAACCTGCCTAGCAATGTCCTCTTAGCTTGATAAAGTTTAGGGTTAGATAGACTGAAAGGAAGTCTAGAATTTTGATAATTTTGGCTTGTGTGTGTGAGAGAGAGACAGAGGGAGAGACAAAAAGAGAAAGAGAGAGATCTATAAAGAAGTAGGACAGGGATAGAAAACATTCCTAAATAATACTGTGGGGCAGGACACTAAGTTTGTTATTTTATCTAGTGGGCCTTTCCTTGGACCAGAACCTGATACTGAAGCTATATTATCTTCGTACATATGTACAGATACACATGTGTTTAAGCCTCATTTACTCTCAAATAGAATTTAGGGTGATGAAAAGAAATAAATGTGACTCAGTATACACCTAACATGTAACGGATTCAGGGGAATGGTGGTAGCCATATGCCTCAGGGTAGAGTCTCTTTAAGGATACTGATAATATTAGGCAGATAGTGAAAACCATTCCTAGAGGAGTCTCAGTTGTTGACAGAAGAGCTAGCCCCTCCATACCTTTCACAGTAGGGTATAGGAAGAAAAGGGATTTTCTTTGTGATTTGTTTTGTTTTTGTTATTTTAACTGTAGAACACAATTTGCATTTTATTTTTCTACTTTGACTTAGTAGTAATAGGTACAATTACTTTGGGTAGGCCAGACCTCTTGCCAAAAAACAAACCAAATGTAACAAGTTAACAGAACCAAAAGCCAAACAAACAAAATAAACCACTGAATTTGTTCAAATGCTCAAAAAAGTTACTAGTAATAATGCCAAATTAAGTAATATTAGTAGAGCAATCACTATTTGTGGAATCATTTTCAAATGATAAATAATAATCTGTATATGCATTGGAAAAGAAAATGGTTTATTGAAAGTTCCCGCTTTTTAATGTGCCTATTTTATTTAAAAAAAGACTATTGACTCATTGATGCTTTTAGCAGATTTTCTTATCTTAATGGTGAAAAACTTGAGCTACTTCATCTACACTCTGATTTAATCACCCTTGGACTAATAGCACACATTTACAAAATGAATGGCAAAGGTTAGAGAACATCTTTAAATATGTACTAGAACAAAGAAGACTGAATCTTGACCATTTTAAGATACACAATGAAAATGTATTCAATATCTATTTGTTGATGATTAAGATTAGAAGGGAAATTAAGTTAATTTTCTAAATTCCGTAATTTATTTGCATATTTACAGATCATTAATTTAACTAAGATACGTTAAGATACCTGATATTATCATGTTTAGTCATTACAGTTACAAATACATCTATACCTCAAAATAATTAAATCTGCTAGTGTGCTTTATCAGTGCTAGTATTTAACTTTCAGTCTCTCAGAACTCAGTTTACTCATCTGTAAAATACAGATAATATCAATATCTTGCAGAAATCACAAAGTATAAAACAAACTAAACACATGGCATTGTCTTACAAATCTGATATCATCATGACTTTTAGTAGGTTCAAACAAGGTAGACTTAATGTTGTTCTTTTCTACCAATGGAAAGTTGCGAAAGGTTAACATATGTATGTATGTAATCCACAAAGATGCCTGATTTTAACTGTTGTTTAATCATCAGATTGAGCATATTATATGAATATTATCATTGAGAACATGGGATTTAAAAAATGTCTTTATTAATACTCCCCAAGTCTGGCAAAGAAGCATCTTAACCTTTTCATTCCTATCTTTCAATCTGAGCTTCAGTTAACCAAGACAATTTACAATAATTAAGTTTTAAACATTAGTTTTCAAATTTACAACATGGCTACACAGACCCAGCTAACCATCTTTAAGTACAGAATTTGGATGGAAATACATTGTGGCTGTGAGGTTGATGGTATGGAAAGAGATGGGTAAAATCATCCAGAAGGTTTCTCAAAGCACCAGATGTCCTGGGTAGCACAAAAGAGACACAGAAGGGTCCAGAATGATGATTTTATTTTCTTCCTGAGCCTATGACACATTCTCTTCTTAGAGTTCTAATGAGCCATTATGCTAATGATGCATCTTTAATCACACATTTCCATTTAGCCCCTGACTGGTGGAAAGGATTACCCTCTGACCTACATCTGGAATATCAGCACATTATGTATCCCTTTATTTTCCATTAATATTACAATTTAGACACTTAATTGCAACCTTCTTAAAATAAGAGCACTGAGCTTCAAACACTGTCTTTTATATTGCTGAGAGGTTCGAGGTAGTAATGGTTCAGTGAAATAGGGCAGAATGAAACCCTGTACTCTTCTTCCACATTTTACTGTTCTACTTGACTCCTTGGAACAGCACAGGCCCCAAATACTTATTTACCGTATTTTTCGATTGATGAGTAAGACTTGTAAATATCACTTCTTTTCCTTCACAGAGAAAAACTGGTACTTTGAGAAACTATGGGTAGCAGTTTGATGGCAATATGCTTATAGGGAGAAGCAGAATTATTTATCCTTGTTACTGCATGTTAACCATAAAGTATATATGTGCTCATATTTATAAATACTTAATTTTCATTGTAATAACTGATGCTGAAGAGGTTGGATTACATAATCCTCAAAAGTATATTTAATCTTGGAAGGTATTACAGATGTTTACTTTGAATTCTGTCATTCTTCAATAAATTTGTAATTAACTTACATCCCTGTAGTAAAAGGTGACAGCAAGAGTTTGTAGCCCAAAAGCGTTTTTCATGGCAGAGGGGAAAAACAGTCATTTAAATTTCCATAGATATTTATTCACTTGTAGATGATTGAGACTTCTTTGTAAATAACTTATTGATATAAAATCTAATGTCTTTACCAGGAGAAATAATTAGTACACATTATTTATTTTTTCAATTTCTACTTAAATCCCAAAGATTAAATTATTAAGTGAGGCGTT